AATACAACAATACAAAGAGTCGAAGCAAATGCCGAAAGTTGTATTTATTTGTATACCCTGAACCCATTCAAAATGGGTATAAGGGTATATTGTATTTGTGCAAAATACAAATGTATGTAACAGGCAGAAGGAAGCATCTCCGGTCCCATAAAGTATATATATACTTGATCAGCATCAATAGCCGAGTCGATCTAGCCGTGTCCGTCTGTCTGTCCGCCCGTCCGTCCGTCTGTCGGTCCGTCCGTTTTTGGGCAATTTTGGTAAATAATAAGAGCTAGAGTCACCAAACTTGACATAAAGCTTCTAAAATAGAATATATATATGCATTTGATGGTGGAAGAAGAGGGTTCAGGGTATCCCCTAGTCGGGAGCTCCCGACTAGAAACTCTTACTTGTTATGTTTTGCTCTTGTTGTTGTTAATGTTGTTGTTGTTGTTGCTTTTTGTAGCTAGCTGGGAAAGTTGATGGCAGTTGGCTGATTTCTGTAGCATTTCCGTTGTGTTTCATTTTAATTTTCATAGTCGGAAAAGTGCTTTTGACCATTTGCACTGGGTATGTAAAGCGAATTCGAATGGAATGAAATGAAATAAAATGTTTGACTATTGGCGGAAGTGTGCCATAAGTTTATTTCTTGTGCGGCCATTTTGTTTGCCTATAAATGTGTGTGTGTGTGTGTGTGTGTCGTGCTTGACATTTAGTTTTGCGTTCGACAGTTGGCGCTGAGTTTTTGCTTATTGGCCTTTATGCGCCATAATGTTACGGAAATTGTTGAACTTTTTTAAAGATATAAATATTTAATTCAAATGTCGCAACGCACTGACCATGCCCACAGTGCGAGCAGGGGGCGTTAACTGTTGCTGCTGCTGCTGTGTTCAATTTACAGTTTGAACTTTGCACAAGGACCTCGTCGAGGTCCTTTCGGCTGGGCCTCACACGCCAGCAGCTGCCGGGCGGCCATTAATATTTTTCAACTATTTGCATAAATTAATGTGCGCCCAAAATGTTGCCCAAAATATGCTTGCAGCAACTTGCAAGCGGCTGCTGGGCGAGCGGGGGGGAGGGGCACTCACACACACACACACACACACACACACACACACACAGGGAGTCCGGTGCGCGTTTTAATAGCGATTTGAAGCGCCTCTCTTTGAATTTGGAGCCAGAAACTTTGCAATCGCACGCACATTCGCCTTGGGCGCATATTACTTTAGAAAAGTTTAGCCAACATATATTTGAATACCGCATGCACATAATTTTTCAGTGTGTGGGCGGTCGGTGGGCGTGCCCAAAAACTGGGCGGCGCTAATTTGCAATTAGTTACAAGCAGCGCAAGCCAAAGGTGAAATTGTGTCAGCTGCTGCAGCTACTTTTACCTGACACACCTCAACCCCCCGCCCGCCCCCACTCCACCCTTGTCCTTCATGTCCTGCACATTCATTATGCGTTCGGGCTGCAAAGTTTTTAGTCTGCCTGACTGGGGCTGAGTGGGGCGTAGTTTAACACAAATATTTCGCTTTTATCATTTTCATATATTCAAAAATTAAGTTTTTACGCAAAATATGTTTGAGCTTAAATCTTGTTAACATCATATCTAGTTTATACGCACATTTCTATCAATTTGAGTTAATCAAATGCATTAAAGCTTGTTAATAATTAAGATGAATTAAATTTTAAATATTTGTATTCTCCATATCCATTGAATATAGTTAAGTGGGGTATATTGTTTTTGTGCTAATGTATGTAACAGGCAGGTGGAAGTACATGTCTCTGACCCCATAAAGCATATATATTCTTGATCATCCTGTCTATGAACTCAAGCATCTCAGAGCCTATACGAGCTGAAGACTTGAGCGTAAGTTCTCCTTTCTGATAATCGATAGCTTGCCTCGTTTCCAAGCAATCGATAAGAATCGATATCGATATCCTGGTCTTTTTAGCAAATCTCAATTTATATATATTTTATTATTTTATTTTTAAATATTTAATTTTTTATTCATATTTAATTCATATTTATATAAAATTGCATATAGTTTATAAAATGTGATATTTCTTAAAATCGAAATCAATTAGAAAAATAAAAATATTTGAAAAAAAAAAAAATATATATATATATATTAATATTCCAATTGCAATTGCCTGCAATCAGTTTTCAAGAAGAGAAACTAACTGTACTTAATAGTACTTAAATACTTAAAATTTGTTAGGCAAGAATTCAATTTACACTCAGTGCACTGGTACACGCTCCAGTGTGTGTGTGTGTGTGTGTGTGTGTGTGAGTGTGTGGTAAATTGTGTGTGCGGGTGGGTGTGTGTGTGTGGGTGTGTGCTGGAAAATGAGTTGACTGGTAATTGAGTTTTTAGTAGCTGTTAGCGGTGGCACACCAGCTCTTTGCGACACTTAGTGGCGCATACACACACACACACACACACACACATCTAAACTCTCTATTACACATGTGCATGTGTATGCGTGTGTCAGTTTTTAGACCAACAGCAGCAGAGGCAGCAGCATCGCAGCAAAGGTGCATTGTAGCGCAAATTAACTACATATGTACACACAAACACACACACACACACACACACACACACACACACACATGGCCAAAAATCTGGCAGGCAGCAGCCTGAAAATGCAAGTTAAAGTTTCCTCAGAGGCGCAACCAAATCAAATTTGCACCAAAAACCAAAGGTAAACTTTGCACGCAGCTCTGGCGGACATTTGCCTGGCGCACATACACGAGTATCCATGTGTGTGTGTGCAGCCACACACACACACACACACTCAAACACACACTCGTGCGAATTCGCACGTCGCTTATTTGGTAATTTACGCGAGTGCGAAAATGCGTTGCGTGTGTGCCTAACAGCGCGTGTGTGTCTATTAAAGTGTGTGTGTGTGTGTGTGAGCTTCATCAACTTGTACACACACACACACACGCAGACAGACACACGCACAGCTGCCTTAATTAAGTTATCAAGACATTTTGGCTCAAACGCAAAACTGCATCTTGTCAGCCGCAATAAATTCGCATAATAAATGGCCAGAGTTTAACTGTGTCAACAGCAGCCGTCTCACAAAGTGCCTCTGTGTGTGTGTGTGGGTGGTGTGTGTGTACTGCCATTTTCTATTCACAAATTTGGCATGCAAAACTGCAAATGCAAATGCAAAAAAAAAAACGTTTAAGAAGAAGTGAAAAAAACGCTTCACCTGCACGTAAAATGTTAAACAGCGGGGCTAATGTCCAAAGAGCTGCACAAAAGTGGCCAAAATTGTGCCGCAGGCTAAAGGACACGGGCAGCTGTTGCTGACGTCCAATGTTGCAGCGGCAGCGGCAGCGGCAGAGGCAAACGTCAGCAACAGCAACTGAATATAACAAAAATTATGCTAAATAGGTAAAGCAGCTTTTATGAAACTGAAACTCAACAGCGAGCACTAAATTATGAGTGGGTGGGCCGTGTGGGCGTGGCCAAGTTGGCCAACTAAACGGCAATGTCAATGCGGGTCAACAGCAGCAGCAGCACAGCAGCAGCAGCAGCACAGACGAGTCAGCAGCAGCAACTGCAGCTCCTGCTGCCAAAACGGTTCATGAACTAGTTGAAAAAACAAGCCAAATTTGCACGACTTCTAAATACCCTGCCACCATGTTCAAAATTCACAAATCTCTCGCTCTTATGCAAATGTACAGAAGGACATGCCCAGACCGATTCAGCTGCAGATTCTAATCAAGATTATATATATTTATATATATGTAGTTTCAGCGTAGCCTTCTTCTGCCTGTTACATGCATTTGCACCAATCCTCCATACATACCCCTTCATACATATTTTCTATGAAAACTTTTAATGATCTGGCAACGCTTGCGGTGCAGACAGAGTTAATCGATCAAAAACAGCACAAAATGGAAAACTTTGTTCACAGCTAATTAAAAGACAACACATGACTTGCAGCGCTTCTCAATTGCTATACATTTAATGACCGTTACATACATGCATACAGACATACATGCATACATACGCACCATTGATCTCAAAGATAATTTAAGCACTGGTATTAACTAGTTTCGTACATTATTATCTAACATTTATAGTAAACCAATTACAGATTAATTTCGTAAATGGTTTAGTTGTAAGGAAACTTCAATGTGTTGGCTTCAAATTTTTTGATTCATTGCGCATATACATGCATACATACATATATGCATACATACTTACATGCCTACATGCATGCCCACATACATATGTATCTACCAACATACTTCCGTGCATGCAATACGTACATACACACGCATTCACGGGGCCATTTACCGCAAGCACTCTACATTTAATTCTCTTCCTTCTCTTTAATTCCTGCAAGCAGAGCTTATCCAGTGCTGCTTGTCTCGCTCCCACACATGTCGACGAGCGCATTATCACTTTTGCTCTTATTTCTCCTTTACATCAAATATTACAAGCTAAGCTTGGCAAGTTCTTGCTCGCTCGCACTCATATATAATGTATATTTTTTACTCTTATACTCCTGTACTTGGCTGCAATTCTTGCAAGCAGAGCTTGACAAGTGCAAATACTGTTTGTGTCGCTCGCACATGCACATATTATTTTAGGAGTACTCTGCAACTTTTAATTAGACCTAATCGAGCTTCAGAATAAAGAAAAAGACGTGCCTAACCTTTGTCCTCTAAAATTTAAGGCAGCGTTTAAAGCCATCGTTGTAGGCCATGGTTGAAATCTACATAAATGTTCGCACATTTTGGCTGCGTTTCTCTGGCGCTTATCTGTGTGACTCAAATGATATGCGTAGTAGTGAGAGGCGGGGGTGTGGCAAATTTCCCCGCTGGCTATTTGTCAGCAGTAGTTGGCCAACGACAATTGTGACAGCAAATAGAAACTTATCTGGCCGGCACGCGTTTAACGGCCACATGGCCAGAGCGCCAACCTGGCCAAAATGCTAAGCCCAGGCGACGATATTCGCCGCAGATGCACATGAAAAATGTTCGCACATACCTTTTTCGCCTTTGGCTCTAAAGCTGCTGACTGTTAACACGCTCGCTTTGGCTTGCTGGGACAGAGCTGGGGTTGCGGCTGCGGCAGCAGTGTGAGGGCGGGGGCGGGCGCAGTAGCTGGGTTTTGGCCAGAATGCGATGATTCTGCCTGGGCTGCCTTGTGTTATGCTCCTCTGCATTGGTTTTGTTTGCTGTCTTGATAGCGCTCTGCGAACAGCTCCCTCCAGCAGCAGCTGCCTTCATGTAAGTGAAAAATAAAAATAAAGCATTGAGGGAGCTGCTTTGAACGGCACCCCGAACACTGAATACCCTTCACTGCTTTTACACAAAACTTCTTTGCCGACCTCTGTTTCTATAGAAGTTCGCTTTGAGACGGGCTTGCAGTTATGATATGTTTTTATTTCCCGAACTTGGTGATAACATTTTGATAAGGTGAAAATGTATAAGTTTTTATAATTTTGAAAGATCTACGCTCTTCACATTTCAAACAAAAACTACAATTTTAAACGATCTTTGCTGGAACAGATATTTTGATACAAAAATAAGTTTTTCATGCTGAAACAAAATTTTTGAACGATTTTTCCTAGAAGAGCTACATTATATGACAGTTCGATGTTGATAAGATATTGCTCACATGTTTGCAGCTAATAATAAATTCTCAGTTTGGTCAAGATTTTAAAAACACAAAAGAGAAACCAAAGATCAACCAAAGATTCCTTTTAAGCTAGATGAGATAGTCGTAATGCTTGGACATATTTCGACATATTCTGCAATAGAAAGTTGGAACTACGCATAGTTCGGGGACGTTAGCTTTAAGACTGAGATATCAGATTGCAGAAGCAGATAGATAGACCTGACTTGATGCCGATCGAGAATATATATGCTTCTGAGACTTCTTTCACAGGCCGTTACATATTCCCTGACAAAATTCAAAGGGCCTTACGAAGAGTATTTTAAAGGAAGCAGCGCCCGCATCCGCACCTGCCTTTCACTTTATCTGGAATTGTGCGCCAGTCTGTGTGTGTGCGTCAGTGTGTGTGTGTGTGTGTGTGTGTGTGTGTGTGTGTGTATGTGCTCATGTTTAATAGACGCCACTTGCAGAAACTGCTGGTGCTGCTGCCGTTCGCTCTGTGGCAGCGTGTACTGTACAATCATACAAAACTGCCGCCGGGCCAAGTGTAGCATATTTTTTTACGGCCAAATGATGATGCTCTCAGAGCTCAGATTGTTGTTGCTGTTGTTGTTGTTGTTGTTGTTGTCGTTGTTGCAGAAATGTACAATAAAAAATTGAAAATGCAATTTAATGTAGATTTGAGCAGAACTTGTGTGCGTCTCTAATGTACTTAATTACACACATTATGATAAGCGTCGGCCATACGCCTAATTAACATGACTAATGCACTAGCTGAGTCACGGCCAAACAAAAAAAAAAGGCTAAACTAACCGCTAAATAATGAGCTAGTGGCTAATCAGCGAACATGTCGCTGTGTGCCTATGGCCTAAGAGGAGGACGCTTAGTGGAATCTAATTTAGAGAAAACAAAGCACACACTCGCCCACACACACCCATAACACACACACACTCCGACACACCCAGCTGATAAAGCTGAAGAGAAATTGTGCTAGTCATAACTCAAAGGATGTTGTTGGGTCGCGCGCGTGTCCGCATTATGGCCATCATTCAGAGGCGTCAGCGCAGAGCCCAGCTAAGAGGATGAGTATAATCATAAAAATGCTGGCATACCTAATCCTTTCACACACACACACGCACACATTTGGCCACTAACTCTAACCAAAGAAACGCATTTAACCATAAAAGGACACGACGTCGCCGTCGCCGCTGTTTGCTGAATACGTAAAAAGGATTTTGTGCACCTTTCAAAATCCCCTTTTTTTTAACAGTTTTTTATATATATTCCCTTTTTTTTACTAGCTTCGGCTAGCTGGAGTGAATGCATGAATGCATGATGATTGAATGAATGAACACATGCCCTTGGCCAAGGCCCAGGCCAAGCAACAACAACAAGAATCAAGCAAATGGCGTTTACGGACGGGTCGCAACGACTGCACAATACTCTTGCACAGTTCGATTGAAGCTTTAACTTAATCGAGTGCTATTGATTTTATTGATCGATTTAGGGCTTGAACGTTAGAGCAGCTCAACTGTGGTCTATATTCCAGATTTAGATATTATCGCTTTATAGAAGGCGTGACGGGGCGTGGTACACAATTTCTTGGATCGATCTTTGGAGAAACTTATCCCACTTATCCTGCCCTATTTAAGAAGACAAGTGTATGCGTGGTCGAAATAAGTTTTGAATCAACTTATAGAGAAGGCCTGAAGACCTAAAGCCGCTAAAGTCGAAAGTCAACTTATAGAGGAGTTCATATCCGAAACTTTAGAATGTATTATCGAATTATCCCGAATTGAGGGGGCAAAAGAAGGCCTGTACAGAATTATTTTCAAGCCGTCTTTTAGAAGAGTTCATATTTGATCTATACACATAATTTCCATTCCTAGCTCCAATAGAGTACAATCAAGTAGGCGTGGCCAAGATAATTCAGGCAACTTACAGAGGAGTTCATATTTGATCTCTTTACCCGTACAATTTTCTACAAGTAGTACAACAAATACGCCCGAATTATAACTTGGCGAACTCGCATCAAAAATGGGAAAAACTTTTTGCTAGAGTCAGCGTACTAATCAGCTAGTCCTGGACATTCGCCATGTGTCCGTGTGCCTGTGTCTCACTTGTTTTGATTATAAATTGAAAACTTTGCTGTTGTGCACATTTTTGTCAAGGCAAAGTCAAAGTGTTTGCCAGGAATTTCCTAATTTTTTTCCCATACCATTTGCCTATATATGTATATGTATTTCTTTTTTATGGCATTTCCATATGTCGCAACCCGGACGGAGGCGGTCAAGCGCAAAAGGCCGTTCGTTCAAGTGGAAGTGGAAGTGTAGGTCGGGTCGACGGGCCGTGCATGAGACATAAAGGATATGCTTGTTAGTAACCAAATTTGCAACAATGGCACAGTGAGAAAGAGTGAGTGAGGGGTAGAGAGAGGAGAGAGACGGGCGGAGAAATGTTTTTGACACTTTCAAGCGTTTTGTTAGGTGTTCGTAGATAGTCATGCATCTGGGTAATCGATTTTTATCGATGTTGAGCACTGCAAATGGGCGTTTTGTTTGGAAATTTCATAAACTTATACAAAGTTGAGACTTTAAAGACAATTTAAGCTGATTGAGCTTTGAATAGACTCTTACACTGGTAGAAATTTTGGTTATTAATATTTTAACTAAATATCATACCTTAGTCCCACTCCTCTCTAACTGATTAACTGCGCTGAGCAAAGCTTTTACAGCACTGCCTCACACACGCATTACCCAGCACTGGCCATGTTTTAATTGCAGCCAACTTCACGCAGCTGTTTCGAACTTTCAATTCTGAATTTTGCATTTCTCACACATTTGAAAAGGCAAAACACGTTCCAAAAATGTCCATCTCGAACTATAAGCTGCAGACCAAGGTGCGCCTGCAGCCGTTGGTGCTGTTCCAGATTATAGCCGCCTATGAGCGTCGCCCCAAAACGGCCAAAATGGCTGTGGGCACACTTTTGGGTCGCCGCGACAGATGCAACGACATCATCGAGATAACCAACAGCTACACGGTGCAGCACAAGGAGCAGCAGATCGGCGAAATGGAGCAGTTCAAGCTGGACACACAGTACGCCAGCGAGATGTTCGAACTGAATCAGATCACCTATCCGCAGGAGAAGATCATCGGCTGGTATAGCACAGGCAAATCCCTATCCCGCTCGGCGGCCGCACTGCATGCCTACTATTCGCGGGAATGCGGCGATGTGCAGCCGCTGCATCTGCTGGTGGACACTACGCTGCGTGGCGGACATCTGAGCACACGGCTCTATTGCGGCGTCACGATGGGCGTGCCGGGCGGTACGCGTGGGCTGCTGTTCACGCTGCTGCCGCTGCTCAAGCTGAACACGGATGGGGATGAGTCGGTGGCGCTGCGGCTGATGCAGAAGCAGGCGCTGCATCCCACCAAGCAGCTGGGCCGCATGCTGCCCGAGCTGGTGCACGTGATGGAGGCGACACGTGAACTGGAGCAAAAGCTGGAGCTGGTGATGCGCTACATCAACGATGTCCTGGCCCGCAAGCGTCGGCCGGACAACAGCATAGGACGTGCTCTGCACGATGCTCTGACCTCGGTGCCGCTTCTCGACGCGGAGAGTTTTCGTCTCATGTTCAATGCGAATGTCCGCAACATGCTGATGAGCATTACACTGTCCACCATGATCAAGACCCAGATGGAGCTCAGCGAGAAGCTGTCCTATCTGCCCGACCACTAAACATCCCTTGATTATCCCACAAATACGATTCTAAATAAACGATTGACAACGGGTTGGCAAATAATAACACACAGGCACGCATAAAGAAATCGATTTTTTTAAGGAGCTTTTAGTATGCATCCTGTATATATGTATATATATACTAGCGGGTATTCCCCGGCTTTGCCCGTGCGACATATTAAATACTAAGACTAAGAGCCAAACCCCATAATGTTCCTAGATTTTGATGCAAAATTGATAAAGTGGTCGAAATATGAATAAAAACCCAAGCCTTAAGAAAATCAGATGAGATTTGACCGAGTTACGGGTGTGGGAAATTTTGACCTATGTCTATATTGGATATTTGAGGGTACCACTTTTACATGAATTTTGAGTAAAAAATATGTTCCCAGATTTTGATGCAAAATTGATAAAGGGGTCAAAATATGAATAAAAAACCAAACCTTAAGAAAATCAGATGAGATTTGACCGAGTTACGGGTGTGGGAAATTTTGACCTATGTCTATACTGGATATTTGAGGGTACCATTTTCACATGAATTTTGGGTAAAAATAATGTTCCCAGATTTTGATGCAAAATTGATAAAGGGGTCAAAATATGAATAAAAAACCAAACCTTAAGAAAATCAGATGAGATTTGACCGAGTTACGGGTGTGAGAAATTTTGACCTATGTCTATATTAGATATTTAAGGGTACCATTTTTACATGAATTTTGAGTAGAAATAGGGTTCCCAGATTTTGATGCAAAATTGATAAAGGGGTCGAAATATGAATAAAAACCCAAGCCTTAAGAAAATCAGATGAGATTTGACCGAGCTACGGGTGTGGGAAATTTTGACCTATGTCTATATTGGATATTTGAGGGTACCATTTTCACATGAATTTTGGGTAAAAATAATGTTCCCAGATTTTGATGCAAAATTGATAAAGGGGTCGAAATATGAATAAAAACCCAAGCCTTAAGAAAATCAGATGAGATTTGACCGAGCTACGGGTGTGGGAAATTTTGACCTATGTCTATATTGGATATTTGAGGGTACCATTTTTACATGAATTTTGAGTAAAAAATATCTTCCCAGATTTTGATGCAAAATTGATAATGGGGTCGAAATATGAATAAAAATCCAAATCTTTAGAAAATCAGATGAGATTTGACCGAGTTACGGGTGTGGGAAATTTTGACCTATGTCTATATTGGATATTTGAGGGTACCATTTTTACATGAATTTTGAGT